CTTCATTAGATAAGTGGGCTCCACCATGCGATAAGTGCAACGTAACTTCTGCCTGTGACACTTCTCCTAAACTTCCTTCATTCCGTTTCTACGCGTAACAGAGTCTGTTCGCCATGGCCGCTGCTGCGGACACGACAGCTGTGTACAGCTCATGGGTGAGATTCCTTTGAAAGGTGTCAGACGGCGATGGAAAGAGCATTACTTCCTAGGTGGGCTTGCTGTACATATTCAACCTGATTGTTGGGACCGGAGCTTTGGCATTACCGAAAGCGTTCGCGAGTGCTGGCTACATTCTCAGTCTGATAATTATCGCGATATCTGCATTGGCCAGGTGAGTGATATGTTCCTGTTTCAACCCCAATGCCATCATTATCTGAGTCGATTTCAGTTACATAGCAGCCACCTTTGTGCTTGAGTCGCTGTCTATAGGAAATGCTGCGCAAGAACGGAAGCGTAAGTTTGAACATTAGTTTTCTAATGTAGCGCGAAAAAAGATTTTTAAGAACCCTTAGTACCGATTTTCTCCACAGAAGGCACTGTTGCGGTTTCATTTCAATCAATCACTTACATTTTAATATAAATTAAGTGTCTGTGTGGATGGATCGACACTTAATGACAGTGATTCCCATCCATCGTCATTTTTGTTACCGTGAAAATGATGGCGTATATCTTACAATAGTGGACTCTCATAGAAAATTTTTAGAATGTACAAACCCTGACCTCAGTGAAGGTTACATTACTCAAAGATCACTTGTCAATTCTTGTTAGGTACTATTAGCTGAGATCGGTCCATATGATGGTCAAGGTAACGTTGCACAAAACACGCATCTTACAATGTGTAAATGAATGTTGCCGATTGATGCAAAAACGCTTAGTCTTAACAACTGGAACCAGATCTTACAGGGAAAAAGGGGCTGATAGATCATGCAGCTTTACATTAGAAAGTGTAAATAATGCTAGTTTGAATTACTTCATCTATGACGAACGTGACAGAGGAGAATTTATCTAACCCGTCATTTTTTGCCAAGATAAAAAATTTATAGCATTTGTGGGGAATACCTCGTTGACTCCTCGTTATATGTTTTATGTTTATGTCACGCCACATATTGACGTATATTGATTCAATGTACCAAGATGTTTCTAGTTGCTTTACTATTTCGACTGAAGAGACCGTGCTTAAAGGCACCGTCTACCCAGAATGGGGGTTGGCGAGATT